CACTCATTCAAGAAAAAATAATACAATCATTTTTGGAGTGAAAATCCCTGACAAATTGAAGGCGTTGGAACATAATAGCACCATACTCAACATTGAACTCACTCTGGCAGACTTGAACAATATCTATTATATTGCCACTAATACTGAGAAATCCATACTTAAAATTGAATTTCTGTCCTATCTTAAAAAAATAGAAGTATTTAAGAATCTCTCAAAGCTGAAAGATACAGGTCTATCCATTACCAACGATCTGAGTGCGGAAGATCAAGCTACACACAAAGCTCTACGCCCCTATTTGAATCTGGCAAAAAAAGCGGACAGACAGCATCTATCAGACAAAATCTTTTGATAGTGGATGATAAAAAATATACACTGCATTCATTCTCCTTCCAACAGGATCGTGCTAATAAAAGAAAAGAAATCAGCTCTCCCGAAGTAACCCTGCCAAGGAAACCATCCAGAGAAAATCCTCCAAGAAACGTCAAAAATTCTTCACATACATAGTTGAATATTCTTTTCTATTTTTCTTTTCATAACTCTGTTCAATTGTAGGCTCTAAGTAGCCAAAGTGGAGGGCTGAACTTTAAGCGGGTTAAGGCTGATTTTTGTTACGGTGCACTTAAAAATTACTTAAGTAAGCTTAAGGTGTAAGCCAGGCTTGATACTATATGGAGAATACATCCATGAATGTTATTTTCAGTCATCGTTTTTTTTTTTATAAAAAATTGTTGGAATTGTTTGCTAAATATTTCAGAGAATAATTTATTCTACAAAATAGTCACAACATTGATCACAAATTCATAAATGCAAGAATTGACCAAATAGTAATATCAAAAGATACAGTGCTCACAAATGCAAATGATATAGCAAATGAATTCAACCAATTTTTTGTAGGTGTAGGAGAGTCTCTTGCAAAACAAATAAGGATACCAAAAACAAAGAAACCAATAAGAAAAAAAATCAGCAACTCCTTCTATTTGTCACCAACAACTAGATGTGAAATAGAATTACTAATAAGCGAACTTAAGAGTGGAAAGGCTCCTGGTTGGGATGGAATAACTGCAGAGTTTCTAAAGAGAAAATAAACACCTTGGTATCTTCACCACTTGTACATCTGATAAATTGCATTTTCCACATTGGTATATGCTCTGATGGATTCAAAAGAGCGATAGTTACACCGATTTTTTAAAAGGGTGATAGAAAATGTATTTTTAACTACAGGCCCATTTCATTAATTACGAATTTTGCAAAAATTTTCGAAAGAACTCTCAAAAATCGACTAACAAAATTTATGAATAAATTTAATATAATATCCGAACAGCAGTTCGGATTTAAAGAAGGCATATCTACCAATGATGCAATATCAGCTCTAACTAAAAATATCTATTCAAACGTCGATGAAAGTATGCCCACTATCTGTATGTTTCTTGATTTGGCCAAGGCTTTTGACACTGTGAACCATTCTCATTTGTTGGAAGTCTTGGAAGATGTGGAAGTTCGTGGAAGGTCACTAGATCTAATGGGGAGTTATTTATCTCATCGCATACAGGCAGTTAAAGTTAATAAATATATTAGCGCAGAAAAAGTGATTCAACATGGAGTACCTCAGGGATCAGTGCTTCTCTGTTTACATAAATGGCCTATTAATTCTAAATTCTTCTGGAAAAATTTACAGTTTTGCTGATGATACAGCAATCTTAATCTCTGCAAATTCGTGGGAGAAAGTGAAGCAAAAATGTAAAAATGATATAGGCATCTATACTAAATTGGTTCAACCATATGCAACTCACCGTCAACTTTGGAAAAACATTCTTTATGCCATTTGCATCTTATACGTCGTCGCTACCGTTATACCGAACATTGACAATTGACAATCAGGGTGTTATGATCGATATCGGTACTGCAAATCATATCAGATACCTAGGAATAATGACTGACAAACATTTGAAATGGGACGAACATGTCACCAGTATAACTAAAACCTTGAGGTACATGCTATTCAAATTCAAGCAAATAAGAACTTTTTTAGATCCAGAACAGCTGCGAACAGTATATTACGCTTTAGTTGAATCGCGAATTCCCTATGCTATTCTCAGTTGGGGTGGTATTTTACCATCACACTTGAGAAAATTAGACATTCTTCACAAAAGAATATTAAAAATAATGCTCTTCAAACCTTTTAGTAACCCCTCTGTAGAGTTATTTCGTGATGCAAATATACTGAGCATTAGGAAATTGTATTTATATACGTTCGGATGCATTCCAACATGGAATAGGAGCAGTACTCTCTCAGGTACCCTCTCAGGTACCCTCAGTACCCTCAGTGCTGAGGACATCAGCAAGAAATTACTTCATCACTAGAAAAGAACTCCACGCAATAGTCAAAGCGGTGAATCATTACCAATCCTTTTTATATGGACGTGAATTTTTTATTAGTTCAGACCACTCAGCACTTCGGTGGTATTTCAACTTCAAAATCCCAGAGGGACAAATAGCCAGGTGGATCGAAAAGGGATCGAAAAGTTCAAAACTTTCGATTTTGGAATTCAACATCGGAAAGGAAAAAGTAATTTGATAGTCATTCAAATAACAGTTGAAGTTTTAGTTAAAGTGTTTGTTTCATATAAAGAGGAATGAAGTTAAGTTTGATTATTGTTCAGTATAGTTAATGGTTGGTACGTGAAAAAACGTAACATCATTATACATCAAAGTCATTTGATAAATACGGTTCTGAAATTCTTAACAGTTAATAAGTACATATTTATATATGGGATATAGATCGAAGTGTAGTCGAATACAGACATGTTTAATTTGTGCTCTATGAAATAGTGTTGTAAATCAAAATAAAACATAGTTAGCAACATCAGACTTCTCCCCAAAGTTTCGCTGATGATACAGCAATCTTATACTCTGCAAATTCGTGGGAGAAAGTGAAGCAAAAATGTGAAAATGATACAGCATCTATACTAAATTGGTTCAACCATATGCAACTCACCGTCAACTTTGAAAAAACATTCTTTATTCCATTTGCATCTTATACGTCGTCACTACCGTTATACCGAACATTGATAATTGACAATCAGGGTGTTATGATCGATATCGGTACTGCAAATCATATCAGATACCTAGGAATAACGATTTAAGATGGGATGAACATGTCACCAATATAACTAAGACCTTGAGGTATATGCTTTTCAAATTCAAGCAAATAAGAACTTTTTTAGATCCAGAACAGCTGCGAACAGTATATTACGCTTTAGTTGAATCGCGAATTCACTATGCTATTCTCAGTTGAGGTGGTATTTTACCATCACACTTGAGAAAATTAGACATTCTTCATAAAAGAATATTAAAAATAATGCTCTTCAAACCTTTTAGTTACCCCTCTGTAGAATTATTTCGTGATGCAAATATACTGAGCATTAGAAAATTGTATTCATATAATATCATTGCATATATCTATAAAATTAGACAAACATTACCAAAAATCGATCATAACTATGACACAAGAACAAAGTGTAACGAATATGTCAAAATAAACAAAACCAAAAAATCAATGTTTCACACACATATCACTCAAGGTTTTTAATTTACTTCCAGAGATGTACAAAATATACATTAACTCCATACATTCTTACCGTCTCCTCAAAAAACATTTCAAAACCTTTTTATTGAGCATAGATTCTGGAGTGATAAATGAATTGTTTTGATTTACTATAATGAAATTGTTGATCACCTGACATAACAGGTAAATGCTATAATTATTATCTTAATTATTTTGTTTTCCTCTCTTTCTGTTTTGCTTTGTTTTCGGCTCAGACTCTGAAAACAAAAACTATGTCAACTCATACAACCAACCTGGTTAATATGAGGTTTCTATGTTTATAGTATCTGAATTGTAGTGTAGCTACCAGTTTCTTCATAATAAACATATTGTTATTATTATTATACATATATACTCATACATACGCATCCAACCTTAACACTATTTAGTGAGAGACATGGATACGACATATTTTATATTGCTTTCACAGATATTCAAAATTTTGTTCAAAAAATTCCCTCAAATCATGAAATCGTCTTGTTATTGAAATGTTTTTTACATCTCTTCTGGATTTCGAAGTGCTATGAATATTTTTAATTTGCTTCGGTAGATGGTTGAACATTTTCGTATCATTGTATACAATTGAATTTCGGCCTTGGGTGGTTCTGAGGATTAATGAAGGTATATATTGGCCATTTGCCCTAGTATTATGTGCAGTGTCAGATTTTAATAAATGTAGTTTATGCTTATGAACTGAACTAGTTGATTCTAACACCAAGATTGATGTTAACGTGAGTATCCTCTGAGAACCATCTTTCCCTCTCTCTTTCCCCCCTTCCCCCCTCTCTCTCTTCCCCCTCTTTCCCTCTCTCTATCTCTTCCCTCTCTTTCCCTCTCTCTGCCCTTTGTAAAATTCAAAAATGGGATATCCAATGGTTTTTGAATATGACTACAATTAACTTTGTGAGGTTGTATTTTTTCAATTTTTATAGTTATATTATTTTTATTGTTTTTGTTTTTTCAATGTGTATGTTATATTGTCCCTACTAGGAACAGTTCACGTTTCTTGAAATATAGTTATTATTTCTAGTACTACAATTAAATTCGTAAGGTTGTATTTTTCAAAACCTTTACTTGTATTATTTTCATTGTTTTCGTTATTTTTAATGTGTGTTATATTGTCCCTACTAAAAGCATGTCATGTTATTTGGAATGAAGTTATTAATTCCAGTACTACAATTAAAATCGTAAAAATTTTTTAAAATATTTTTCGTTGTATTACTTCCATTGTTTTTGTTTTTTCAATGTGCATGTTATGTCGTCCCTACTATCCTATTACCACAATTAACTTTATAAGGTTGTATTTGTTTTTATGTATATTTTTGATAAATAAATTCTATTACCATAATTTTGCTTGAAATATACAATAAACCCCTCTATCAGCCTTTTATCATCATTAATGATATAAATAAGATACAATTGTTGCTGAAAATACCTTTGCTGTGACTACTTTTCCTCCAGATCGTACGACTTCATACCCTGGGTGTTCCTTGAGCCACTGATCTAGATTTGCAGTGCTCGGAGCCTTGTTGCCGGTGATCATTTTACCAGTTGCTCTCTCAAACACAATCACCTGAAACACGTTTGAGACTTTAAAAGATGTTCTTCGGCAAATTTGATAAAATTGTGCCAACTTTTCACACATTCACCAACTTTTTGTCACTTCTTTTAAACCTTTAGCCATTTTTTTCATTCTCTCTCACATACTTTCTCTCACATTCACACAATATTACTTCCAACAATATCCTCCATCTCTCTATCTTCAAATTCTATTTTTCCATTGCTCATCAATGTATTCATATCCTTTTATATATTACCACATCTCTTGTTCACCTTATCTCTATCATACATTAAGTTTTTCACTCGACCACTATTTTATTTGTTAATTTCAAGGTGCCCAGTATATTTCCTATTATTATCAGTCACTATGTTCACTGACTGTTGTATGGCATGTGGGTGGGTTTTGCACCTTATCGAACAATAAAGGTTTGTTTCTTTTATTCTCTTAAAGTCCTCAACCTTTCATATCTTGTACCCTTTGTTACTATTTACGATTTCTTCAGCATTTTTTCTTTTATGCCTTTTTCATGCCCATCTTGTCTTTTCATGTTTACTCTTCTTTTGCATTTCTTCTACCGAAATGTTTTTCCATCTTCCTCAATTCTTTCCATTTTGTATATTTTTCAATTGAACTTGTCTTTTCCTTTGTGTCTCTCCCTTTCTTACAACTTTTCATATATCTCTAGTTTTTAATATCTCTTCAATTGAACTTGTCTTTTCCTTTGTGTCTCTCCCTTTCTTACAACTTTTCATATATCTCTAATTTTTAATATCTCTTTTATCTCTCTTTTTACACTAACGTTTTCCTTGTCTTATCCCCCTTCACATTTCTCTCTTAGATCTCTCTGGATACCTCTGTTTTTTCACTTTCTCTACCTTCTATTCCCTCTCTTAAATTTTCGTTATCAATTCCCTTCTCCCTTCAGATTTCCTTCTGTATTCATCCTCTGAGTTCCTTTGTTTCTTGAATGTATTTCTTTCTCCTGTTTTTTGTATTTTCTCTCCATTATCTTATTTTATTTCTCTTGTTTCTCTCTTATTTCTCCATAGCAAAACTCATGTATTTTTTTACATATCCCACCTGTCATCTCCTTTATTTTTTTTCTTCCACTCCCTCTATTTTCTATTTCCACCACCACATATCTTTCCCGAGAATTTTCTTTTCCAAATCTTGTCTTTTGTACCTTTGTACCTTTCCCAATCGGCTTTCTCTCTCTCTCTCTCTCTCTCTTTCCCCCTCTCTCTCTCTATCTCTTCCCCCTCTTTCCCTCTCTCTTCCCCCTCTTTCCCTATCTCTATCTCTTCCCCCTCTTTCCCCCCCCTTTCTATCTCTTCCCCTCTTTCCCCCCTTTCTCTCTCTTCCCCCTCTTTCCCTTTCTCTCTCTTCCCCCATTTTCCTCTATCTCCCTCCCCCCTCTTTCCCCCCTCTCTCTTTCCCCTATTTCCCTCTCTCTCTACCTCTTTCTCTCTCTCCCCCCTCTTTCTCTCTCTTCCCCCTCTTTCCCTCTCTCTATCTTCCCATCTTTCCCTCTCTCTTTCCCCCCTTCCCCCCTCTCTCTCTTCCCCCTCTTTCCCTCTCTCTATCTCTTCCCTCTCTTTCCCTCTCTCTGCCCCCTCTTCCTCTTTCTCTCTTCCCCCTCTTTCCCTCTCTCTTCCTCTCTTTCCCTCTCTCTTCCCCCTCTTTCCCCCCTCTCTCTTCCCCCTCTTTCCCCCCTCCCCCTCTCTCTTCCCCCTCTTTCCCCCTATCTCTCTTTCCCCTCTTTCCCTCTCTCTTCCCCCCTCTCTCTCTTCCCCCTCTTTCTCTTCCTCCTCTCTCTCTCTCTTTCCCCTCTTTCCCTCTCTCTCTGTCTTCCCCCTCTCTCCCTCTTTCCCTCTCTCTCTCTCTTCCCCCTCTTTCTCTCTCTCCCCCCTATCTCCCCCTCTTTCTCCCCCTTTTTTCTTCCCTCTCTTTCTCCCCTCTCTTTCTCCCCTCTCTTTCTCCCCCCTCTCTATCTCCCCCCCTTCTCTTCCTCTCTCTCTCTTCCTCTCTCTCTCTTCCTCTCTCTCTCTTCCTCTCTCTCTCTTCCTCTCTCTATCTACCTTCCTCTCCCTCTCTCTCTCTTCCTCTCTCTACCTTCCTCTCTCTCGCTTCTTTCTCCATTTTTCCCTAATGCTTTTCTCTAGTATTTATTTTCTGGGTATCTCCTTCAATCGCTGTCTATATTTATAAACTCACCCTTTCAATCCCCTGGGCGTGTGCCAAAATACACGTTTCACTGCAATAAATGGAATTTTTCCTTGATTGTTTTTGACACACGACGCAAGGCACTGCGTTCGCGGGCTCAGAATTTCTGCCTCGTTCGCTGTTAACGCTGTCGATTGAAGCCCTGGAATTCCTGGACGCTCTTCGTACCCTTCTCGCGGCCGCCTGTGGTCTTTTCAGCATCGGATCCTGCATAAGAAACAATCAAATTAATCATTCACTGGCAAAACCAAAAGAAAAATGAATATTTATCAGAGCAGAATCCATGATATTTGAACGATTTTCACAAACATTTTATATTTCTAAAGGCGTTTTGCTAACACCGTAGTTTCCTCGGTAGAAATGCTTCTATCTATCTATTATCTCTAAGTAAATTTAAAACTGAACTGGATAGTAATAAGTTTGTTGTGCCAGTGTTCCTTGACCTCAAAAGATCATTTGAGACCTTTTATAGGTCTATGTACTACTAGCTAAATTGAATATATATGGAATAGAGAGCATAATGTACAATTGGTTATCTAATTATTTGACCAACAGAAAACAACGGGTAGGAGTGAAAGACATATCCTCTTGTAAAATTGACAATGATTTTGGAGTTTCCCAGGGTAGTGTTTTGGGTCCCCTTCTATTCATACTATATTTAAACGACTTGCCATTGTTTGTTGATTGTGAATTTATAATATTTTTTGCTGATGATACTCTATTGCAGGGGTCTCCAAACTACGGCCCGCGGGCCAAATCCGGCCCGCCAGTGTCATCAATCCGGCCCGCGACAGCCAATGATTTACTGTCATCAATCTGGCCCGCGACAGCCAATGATCACCTAACTGTTGTTACCATTTCTGTGATAAGTTGAAGAAGAAAACAAAGAATGATAATTACTCGGTTTTATTTACTTGCAAGCTAAAACTTAACGACAGAAATGATGACAAAGAAAACTTAACTTAAGTATCTAAGTTTAAGCATATTAATAGATAGATAGATAGATAGATAGGTATCCTTTATTAGTTCTTTGTAATAAAAAACCTTTTCAGGCGTAGAACATGTCAATTACAGTAAAAATTACAGAAATAGTAAAAAAAATCATGAGGCAATATCATTAATATTGGTTAAGAATATAAATGGCCACAGATGTATAAATAACAAGGTTATCACAGTCAATATACTTAATGTAATATTGTTATATTAGATACAGAACACGAACATATACATCTATATGTAGGGTTCAAAAGAGACTAAACTACATCACAATGCAGAATTATACATGAAATATTCAACGTGAACAACATCAGTTTAAATCATCATTGAAGAATTCTTCCAGCGAATAATAAGCTTTGGAGAGAAGCAAAGTTTACAATTTATTCTTCATGATCACAGAAGACAGAGTTCTGAGAGATTCAGGTACCTTGTTATAAATATTCATGATTGAAAAAGGTATATTTTTTTGAAGATAGGTCAAATGTGTCTTTATATTCAAAAGGTTATTTTTGTTCCGTGTGTTGTGGGTGTGGTTCCTATCATGAGTCGCAAAAAGAGATATATTTTCTTTGAAAAATACCACAAATTCATAAATATAGAGACCTGTTAGTGTTAATATTTTTTTATCTACGAATATTTTTTACAACTTTCTCTCTGAGAAAGGTTGAATATTTTTCTGAGACACCGTTTTTGCAACGGGTCTCAGAACGGGTGTTACTTTATTTCACAATAGACAGTTTCGCTTCCTTCGCCTTTCCTACGCAGACTAACTCGCAGATGCGCCACTAGCCTTTTTATATGCAATTATTACTGCCATCTCGAGGTGATCAGAATACACTAGTTAGAACCAGAACTTTCTCAAACCAACGCGGTAATTCCAAATATTTAATTAAGCCTAATGCCACCTAGCGGGTAGCTGAAATATAGTTAAGGGCAGAAATTGGCCCTTGGAACAAACTGAAAAAATCATTATGGCCCGAAGGCTTCAAAGTTTGGAGACCCCTGCTCTATTGGCATGTAGCGATGTGAACCTTGAAATGGCTATACAGAAAATGAATAATACTCTAGAAAGAGAGAGAGACTTCTTATTTTTTCTGTATTGAAACCAATACGAATCCAAGTAAAGCACAATGTTGATTGTTTGAAAAAACGAAATAACTCACCTTACAGAAGAGGCAAATCCATTCCCTGCCCTCTGATTCCATCTGCTGCCCCATAGCCTTGGTAATGTTGACGCACTTGCCGTGGTACCACTCCTCGCATGTGTCACAGCAGATCATGAAGCGGTTGTTGTGTGGCTGGTTGCAGATGCACCACAGTTTATTAGGGTCGTCTTCGGATTCTTCCTCTTCATCGTTGGAACTGTCGAGCTCGTTTCCAGACACGTGTTCTTCATCGAGAGGTTTGTGGACGGGCCTGTGTAATAATTATTAAAATACTAATAATATTTCATATATATTCGTAAAGGAGAATTTAACAAATCTTAGATTTTACACTAAACTAGACGCAGTTGTCTCTTACTTAAAGGGAGGTTTTGATTCCTCGTTTCTCTTATTTCTACTCCTAGTTGTGGGTCTTTCGATGGGTGGTATTACTACAATCCTTCCGTCTGCACGCACTACTTGGGTTCCACCTTGAGAGTTGCCCTCGTTACTTGCCTAAAAATCATAGTTAAATCTCTTAATGAATAGGATCATATGAATAACTGTCAAAACAAGATGGCAAGTGGAACAAGTTGTACATCACCACTTACAAGCACTATTTCAAAAAAGTTATAAACAGAGTTAAATGTAACAAATGTGCTGAAACTTTCAATCCAGCATGTCTGAAACAAGTGAGCGAAAATGAGAATTGCTGTAAACATGAAACAGAGAAACCCAAGTGACAACATTGAATTGAACATAATTCGGACAGGAGAAGAAAACTTTTTAAATGAACAATCAAAATGCTCAAACTATTCAGGACAAAAATACGGTATTTATTGACAAAGAAACAACAAATTTAAAATCATCAAAAACAGCCAGAAAGAAAATCCAATACCAGAAATACCTGTAAATAAAATAAATGTTGAATTGATTCAAATGCGAACCAAAGGAACATGTGAATTCAACAGTAATTTAGTGAATCCAAATTGAACAGAAATGGACAACATATACAAAAAAAAACTAAATTTGGCAATGGAGGAGACGATGAAAATGTTAATGGAAAGGATAATTCAGACAAGAAAATATGGCTATTTCTATCAAAAGTCCGAGAGTCAGTTGCGGCTGAAAATATAGAGGAATATATTGAAAAACAAAACAAAATCCAAACACTCAAAAGTAAAAATTCTGAAAACTCAAACACCAAAAATGGATACTCAATCATTTACGGTGGGAGTAGAACTTCAATTGAAGAGAGTATATGAAGAGAAGTTTTGGCCAAACAAAATCGAATTTGAAATATTTGACTTCAAACGAGGACAACAGGGCACAATCCCAAAATGAAGAAAGCCTTGAGCGGCCAGTTTTTTCTGTGAGTAAAACCTAACTTTTATGCATATACAAGGTAGTTTAGCAAAACATGTTTCGATCTAGACGTTATACTACAGAAAGAAGATGTAGTATTTTGTCAGTATCTGAACACAGGTTTGTTAATACCAACATTCAAGAACTCCAATTTCCTAACTTTCAACTATTGTCACATTTCTCAGGAACAAAAAAAATTGGGTATTTCTTATTTAGTAGAAATTATTAATTAGTGTGTCAATTTTAAAACTTAAAATGGGCTATATCTCACGAACGAAAACTGATATCGAAAAATGCTTGAAACCGTTTCTAGGATAGTAAGGGGGAACTAAAGTGACATGAAAGATAACTCACCCCCCATCAACCCCCTAGGCCCCACCCACCAAAACACAAAAAGTTTCAATTACAAACCCCTACTTGTGATAAATCATTGAAAAGACTATAAAAATGCTATCCAATGATGTGAATAATAATTGTACAGGGTGAAGCAATAATTGTGAAACTTTGGCTTAAATGGAATATTTAATGAGGTATTTGTTAAACTTCAAATTTATTAAAAATGTCAATTTAGTAAATGTTCGAAGTGTTTTTTTGTTGTTTTGTAAACAATAATACAGCCTATTTTCAAATTCTGCACGATCTTTGGCAAATGTTGTTCTAGTAATGGCGCGACATGCTTGCGTAATTCTTTCTCGCAATTCCCAACTGACTTGAGGTGACCCCACAGAAAAAAGTCAGGTGGCGCCACGTCTGGTGACCTCGGTGGCCACTCAATGGGACCTCTCTTTCCAATCCATTTGTTCGGATAATTAGTATCCAACCATTGCCCAACTGGAGCTGCATAGTGAGGCGGTGCTCCATCTTGTTGGAAGTGCAGCAAATCTTCGTCTACAGCTAGGTTGCCTTGGTCGTCCCTTTGGTTCTCTAATTCATGCACAATTAAAGGTTCGATGGTGTTTTCCAGCATATCGAGATAAATGTCGCCACTTAAATTGCCTGGTATGAACAAGGGAACAATTATAGCATCGCCTAATATTCTTGCCCAAACATTCAGTTTTTCAGGATATTGAGTGTGACCTTCTCTGAATCGATGCGGGTTTGCGTCACTCCAGTACCGACAGTTTTGTTTATTTATATTACCATTCAGAATAAAAGTAGATATATTCATCACTGAAACAAATATTTTTTTAAATTCTCAGTTCAACGCAAATTCTTTCAGTCATGAGTTCACAAAACTCAATTCGTCGGTCTGGATCATCATCGCCTAGTTCTTGAAGAATTTGTGTATTGTACGGGTGAATCTTATGTAATTTCAACACCTTTCTAACCGAGTCATGTGAAAGACCTGTCACAGCAGATACTTGACGTGTTGATGCAGTAGGCTCCATTGAAAAATTTCCAAGGATTTCAATTTGGGTTGCTTCATTCAGTAATCTTGGGGCATTCCTTTTTTTATTTTGCACTGATCCCGTTTCTCTAAGCTTTTCAACTAAATCGCGGAACATACACGTGACTTACATTTTTGTCCGGATGCCTTTCATGAAATATTTGAGCTGTTTTAAAATAACACTGGTTCTGGGAGGCAAATATGAAAATTGTCTCCACGCGCTCAGGTATTATTATTATCAGGTATTCTGTAAACCATCGTGACAACTACAGCTGAATGACAGTACAGATCGTACAAATGATGAAAACTAATGACTTTTGAAAGTCTCAAACCAAAAATTATTGACTCTGAAAAAACCCAAAAAACTGATCTTTCCAACTTGTTTTGCAAAAACGGCAAATTAAGTTTTTATCTAACAAAAAAAGTATCGAAGGACACTTATTTAAAATAATAGTCCGGGTGGTAGCATTACAAATTCAAAAGTCATAGTAAGCCGGCTGATATTAAAGTTCGTGCAGACTTTGACAATAGGCTGTATTATTGTTTACAAAACAACGGAACCCACTTTGAACATTTACTTAATTGACATTTTTAATACATTTGTAGTTCAACAAAAACCTCATTAAATATTCCATTTGATCCAAAGTTTCACAATTGTTGCTTCACCCTGTACAATTATTATTTATACCATTGGAGAGCATTTTTATAGTCTCTTCAATGATGTATCACAAGTAGGGGTTTGCAATTTAAACTTTTTGAGTTTTGGTGGGTGGGGCCTAGGGGGTTGATGGGGGTGAGTTCTCTTTCATGTCACTTTAGTTTCCCCTTACTATCCTAGAAACGGTTTCAAACATTTTTTGATATCAGCTTTCGTTCGTGAGATATAGCCCATTGTAAATTTTAAAATTGACACTCTGTATATAATTACAGAGATAACTCTTGAAGCTGGGAAAAAATAAAGTCAACCGCAGAAGCAGATCTAAGAAAATTGCAAATTTGGCTGGACCATCACCTACTCACCCTAAACGTCTCTAAAACTAAATTCATACCTTTTACACCTACGCTTAATACACAACCCACTACAGATTATTCTATAAACCTTCACAAAACAACTTGCACGGACACAAATACATGTACCTGCCCAGAAATAGATCGAGTATCATCAATAAAATATCTAGGAGTGACTCTAAGAGATATCCTCTCACGCAAAAACCTACTAATGCTTTATACTTCCCTAGTAGAATCCGTTCTAAGATACAGTATTATAATATGGGGAGGAGCCTTCGTTAACCACTTACGTCCTCATCATATCATACAAAACTCCATCATAAAAATCATATTCAGATAAAAGAAAGAGTATTCCACAATATTACTATATGAAGAAACAAAAATCCTACCAATCAGTCTTTTGTATGTTCATCAATGTATAATTCGAGTTCACACAACTAAATACTCATTTCAAAGCAGATCTGTCCAACCAACCAGACAAACTAGTAATGAAGAATTAGCAATACATACATTTAGAAAAGCTATAACCCAGAGAACGTTTCTATTTTTCGGTCCAAAATTTTACAATGAAATACCAGTACATTTAAAAAAAAATGACAAACTAAGAAATTTTTAAAACTGAAATAAAGAACTATATCCTGAAAAACAAGGAAACTTTCTATAAAATACAACGATAGTGAATACACCCACTATTTGCTGGTATCCCTGTCCTCTACAAATCGTCAAATATCTTTCAGAATTTTGGTAAAATTAATATACAGGTGTTTTGGAGTTATGCTTTACATAAGAGTTAATTACCTTCCTTATCTATTTTTTTTTATCTTGTAAATCTTTGCCCGCCAATATTTTAATTTTTAAGATAATTTTATGTACAATACAAATAGTTTTTTTTTAAGAGAAGCCCTGGATAAAACACACACACAGGCAATTATGCCTAGGTACGTTTTACTCAGAGAGTAAATCTAACCCCATTTTGTAAAAAAAATTGTAATATTTTTTTTGTACATGCAATTGTACATATGTAAATGTGAACCAAATGTGCATTGGAGAAGTATTTGAAATATGTGCTCTGAAATTAACCAGTCCAATCTCAGGAGGGTGTTTCTACCTTTTTTTCTGTCTGTAAATCTCCAGATGCTAATAATAATATGTATTTATTTCAAAAATATGCCGACCATTACAGCTTGTACACAGACAACATAGAATGAAATGATGTCCAAAAAAACTAAATTTTTTTTGAATCTACTCATAACTATATACATTTCAATAACTATATGGTTCTAAATCTATTGATTTTTTTTGTATTTCTTTCTTATATTTACTTATTCATTGACATGTAAAGAGGAGGTTTTTCAGTTATAGTTAACCAATGTATAGGGAGCACGAAATCATTTCTTTTTTTTTTTCAAGGACAAAACACATGCACTACAGGAAAATCCTTAAGGCGCTCTAAGTAGCCTGTGCGAAAGTATCGATTCACATTGGATTTGAACCGCTGCAGATTAAATCCATTTGGAAAAACTTTCTCGGAAAGTTTATTCCACGTAAACGCAGTTCTCCAAATGAAAGAGTTCTTACACTTTGAGGTATGTTGTTTAACAAATATGTTTTTTCCATTAACCAGCTGTCGCACCCCTACGAAAGATAACCCACAGAAGTCGAAACTTGTGCGAGCTAAGGACTAACGAAGTCTTACCGTTTAACGTGTGATTCCTAACACGGGTTGGACAATAGCAAGTGAAAATCGAGCGTTCAG